GTCACACGAGATAGTATAGTAGAGTGTATTATATCTAATAAAGTTTTGGCATGACTGCCAAATTTAAAAAAAAAATATATTATATTATTACTCTTTTTAATAATTATCTATATCCAAATTTTCTGTTAGTAAAATAAAAATTTTGTTAGAGATAAGGTTGTTTCACAAATTTAATGAGGTGGTTTTTTTAGAGGTTAAGATAAAGGAATTTTCTGCATATTTGGCATGCAAGCTAGAAGCGTTCCTATACAAGATAACTGGCAGGGGTGCCCTTGTATAGAAAATTTTGGTGAGAATAAAGGAGAGTTTTTATCAACAAAGTCTCTTAGAAGTCAAATAGAAAAGACAAGGAGAATAACAAAAAGCTTTTATTTTTTAATATGCTTTTTACAAACATACAAGTAGTCTCTTTTTACTTACAGAAGATATTTTTCATAACTCTTGCCACTCTTTAAAAAATTTTGGACAAAAAGTAAGAATTTGGTTTACTCTCTTCAAAAGATCAATAGTGTTTATATTCCGAATCTGAATAGCCAAGTAGATTACAACTATGTGTTTGATGGATACAGTGCTACTAATTTGAACAGGTTTTGGGGGTTTAATGGCGACAGCAGGTGGCTTGAGATACAAGTTTATAGATGGCAGCAGCATCTGGCTTGAAATATGGATTAGGTTAGGCCAAATATTTTGGAGTTGGTCATATAATCAGAAAGAAATACTAATATTAAGGCGAAGCTTTACAGTAGAGATATACAAATATTGTATTTGTTATATAATTTTTATATTTGCCTGATACAAGTTATAATAGTGCACCTTCTTTTTTTCTTTCTTGTTTATTTTTGTACTATTTCTTGATAGAGGTAGCTGCTATTTTTTACAAGAGATAGCATTTTCTTGTTTAGCCTATCTAAGCTTATCTCTTTGTTTTTTTCTTTTTTTATATTTTCTGTTTCCTTTATTTTTATTCCTTATTAGTTTCCTTTTCTTGTTTTGTTTCTTTTTTGTATACAAACTCTTTTTCTTCTTGATGTATATTTCGGTATTGAGAATATAGAAATATTATTTTTTTTTGCTTTTAGTGAAGAAAGTAAGAATGAAGGGATAGGCTCTTGGCAGGCTAACAAAATTTTCTAACTTACATATAGGTTGGTGTAACAATTTGCTCTTGTGCATGCTAAACACAGCCGGGTGATATCAGGCTTGCAATTGTTATACTATCATTATTTATTCTATCCAAGTTTGTTTAATAAATATTGTATTTGAGCTCTGGCAAGACTGTCAAAGAGCTAAAAATTTATATTATATCAGATTTTATAAGATATATTACAATATATATATATACTAAAGTTAAATTTTTTATAAAGTGGTATTGGGGATTTTGTTTGGGAGGATAACTGGGCGGTAACCAGAATTGGAAAGTGGTGAGAAATGTAGTAAATACAAAAGGACCTGTGGTAAAGAATTGGCTTTACCAAATTTAGAACACCTCTGATACATATGGAACTCACTGACCAATAAGAAGTTGAAGCATAAAGATGTGTACATGTTAATAGATCTAACAGGCTTTGGTCGTACCTGTATGGAAGTTTTCAAAGATTAAGAGGACCTAGAACCACCAATACAGGTATAGCTGGTATAAGTGAATGCAGTGATAACTGGGAGCTACAATTGCTGAAAATTACTATAAATAGAAATGATGATGCACCTGTTAAGAACCCCTAGGCCTCATGATTCTATCCAACTATATCAAGTACTAGAAGCATTTGCGAAACATGCCTGAGCAAGCCTCATCACCATATTGGGAAGTATAGTCGTTCACATATTACCAAATTCGAAACGTTAAGACCTTGGTCTTAAAATCACAGAAAACCAGCTAGTTATAGCAGCATGCAGGCTTGAAATACTTACCCAATTGGGTAGAAGCAGTTGCATGGCTTGAGATATAAACTTCTAAAAGTATACTAGTTGGGACTGAGTACACCAAACTAGGAGCAATAAGCGCCTATTTGGTATACACCAATTTGGGAGTTAAGATATTAAGTATATAAATAAAGTGGCAAATATGAAAATACTAATTGGCTAGCGTATGAATAGTGAGAAAACCCATTGGGTTAGAGGGCTGATGGAGGTAGTTAGAACCAGATGGTTTAAATAGGTACCCCCTAGTTGAGGTGCAGGTATGGCAGATAGTATAGAACCTTCGGGCAGACTACTTAAATAGGCACTCAAAAGGTGCACGTGTAGCTTGATGTACCATCGTTGTAATTACATATAAAACTTCGTCTATACTCTAATAAAAAGTTCCCCAGACCAAAGAGGTCACCTTAATACCAAAAAAAAAAAAAAAAAAAATACTAATTAGCAGTTGGAGAAAGATGTATAAAATCTAGATTAATCATATATGTAGAAGTGTTGACAGCTCTGGTAGGTATTAGCTATAGATAAATAGTCTTAGACTTAAAGTCCTAGTTCTAGTTCTAATATATAATATGTATGTATTTCAGTACCACTATATGTCAATTTACTTAAATATTAATAAAAGTCTAAAGCAGGTGTTACACCCTAATATTAAAAAATAAAAATAAAAATAAAAAAAAAGTCAAATTTTTTATAAAGACATATCTTCATGGTAATTCTATATATAGTAACCAACCATATTTATTTTTTATTATAAAATTTATAAAATTTTTAGCTAATTTTAATTAGCTAATAGTAAACAATTTATTATACATTTGTATACTCAATTTTGATTGGCTATTTATATAAAGTTGCTATAAAATAATGCTTTTTTTTCCTATTAAATAGCTCATATATATTGCATTTTGAAGCTAATTTTAATAATACTATATATAAAGATAAGTTAATAGAAATCAAGCAAATTTTTTATAATAAAAAATTTTTTATAACTTTAAACAAGAATAACTTAACAAAATTTTAATCAAATTTAATAAAAATTTTTTTAAAATAATTATTACAAATTTGTAATATTAATTTGAAAATTTTTATTAAATTTGATTAAGTTTTTGTTATTGCGGTTTTCAAAATAGTTGAAAATTGCAAAAAAAACTTTTTTTTAATAAGTATTTGAATATTTGAATACTCAATTATCTTAATTGTTTATTAAACAATAGTCATGTGAATTAGATTAATACTTCATACTATAAAGCACTAATCTAATCTGCATAACTATTGTTTGATAAACAATTACAAAATTAGTATTGATTTTTAATCAAAGTGCTAAAATAATCAAGTATTTGAGTATTTAAGTATTCATTAAAAAAAAAGTTTTTTGCAATTTTTAACCATTTCAAAAACCATAATAAGTTATTTTTGTTTAAAGTTTAAAAAAAAATTATTAAAAATATTTGTTTGGTTTTTGTTAATTTAACTCTATATATAGTATTTAGAAAATTTTAATAGTTGATTTTTAGATAACTAGACAATATAAAATTATTATAAAATTATAATATTTAAAATAATTATTTAAACTAATTTAAACAAATTTATAAATAGTTAAAGTTAAAATAAGAGTTATAGTTTAAATTAGAGTTAGATTAGAGTCAGAATTAAAATTTTATATATTAACTAGCTATACTAAAGAAAATCTAATTTAACTATATTTTTTAATTTTATTTAAAAAATTGTATTTATAAAAGATTTAAATTTATAAAAAAAATTTTTTATTAATAAAAATATATATACAGTATATAGTTAGTATACTGTAAATATTAATTATATTATATTTATATAAAATATATATACAATATATTATAATATTATACTGTATATATATACAGTAATAATATTTAGTTTTAAAACCTGTAGTGTAAATTAATTTTTATTTATTTTATTCTATTTTATTTTTTTTGCAACAAAACATAATAACATTTAATATTTTTTTTAATTTGTCAAAAAAAAAGCAAAACAATTAATTATATATAGTAACAAAAGAAAATTAAAAATTTAATATGTTTTTATAAAATAAAAACAAATACAGTATATATAGTTTAATCAATTCGATATTTAATCACATGTATAAATCGTTTTTTTTTTTTTGCTAAATTAAATTATTTTAAGTCGATCGTTTCCGGTCTAGATTTTTGTACACATAACATTTTAAATAATCACGGTATTAACAAATAAAATTATGAAATAGGTTAGCCAATTACTAATCAAGATAACCACCCATGTTGAATCATGTGGATACACGAGTTAATATAAAATATATAAAGTTTACATAGCAACATTGATATAAGTTTTTGGGCATGCATTTGTACAACACACACTTTATATTTTTAATTAAATCAAAAGAAGGTTTCGTTTGTAGTGCAGATGGTCACGCAGGCATGCGTAAAGCATTAATCACACTATCAGTTCCTTTTTTTTTTTTTTTTTATACATATTAAATTATAAAATTTTTATTTTTTGTGCATCGATGCAATACTTATTTGGAAGTCAGAACTTGATTTGAGAACTTTCGAATTTACATATTTATCCCACAAATCCTAGCTCATCTGCCATTGGTTACTCTTGTTGTTACCTTTACAATAACAATATATAAAGTGAGATCATGGTCGGGAGGTTTTTTTTGGGCAAACGTCTCTTGAGCAAAAAAGGTTAACTTGTGCGCCTTCAAAGTATTAAACATTTCACCACCTTTTTCCCCGCTCTCCAAGGGATCCAGGTACAAAGCTATCCTATTTTTTAATAGCGTCAGTGTAAATAATTGCAACGAAAAAAAAAGTTAAATTATTAATTGCGAAACTATTTTCTCGAGGAATAGAAATGTATGCTCTTTGAATCTATATTCTCGCTTTAATTTGAATATCAGATACGCTACGATTGATAATTGAATTCGAATTAATAAAATTTTGTACAACCGATACCCATATAACTAGCTCTGGAGAACCTGTTCATCGCCCACCTTCTAAACACTACAAGTTGCGATAAACCCTCTAACGTTCATAAAGAGTACCCAATACAAGTTTCTTTAGAATACTATGAATATTACTGAAGAAAAGTGGTCTATTCAGCAATCTCAAGTTCCACCTTCACCTCACCATCCACATTCTGTAATGTCACCACAAATGAGCGGTATGCCTGCTGACAACTTTATGCAACCCTTTCCATATGACGGACCAACTGCTCAAGGTCAATTACATTCCCAAATGTAAGTAAAAACACGTTTTGTTTAAAAAGGGTTCAGCCCTTGCGCCGTGCACGTCTTATAAAAGTACTGCTCGCGTTTTTTTTTTGTTACCTTGGTACAAAACGGGTTGGTTATGCAAGTTGATGTTTCTTCCCGCCGCGTGTCACCTTACACATAGTTTCTTTGAATTTTACACAATGTTCTTCCTTTCAATGTTCATATGAATGAACATCACAAGATTCATTCACAATTTTTGGTAGTGCAGATCATCTATCCCCCGAATAATCCGCTAATCATTTAACACTTAACCTACTATATTAATTAGCTATGTGCCAATTGCCACACAATCTCCATCAACCCCTCGACCAACCAACTCTCCAAGCAGCAACACAAACACGTCTAATCCTGCATCTGATCGTAAAGTTATAGATAATCGACCTACATTCACAACTACTTCCTTTCATGCTACCCCATTTCAAGCGGGTGCTGTTAGGAAACGTAGAACTGATACATTAGGTTTCTCACAGGATGTAGGGCCATTCTTCTCACCAACTCAACAACATCACAATATTTATAGTGCAGATAGAACGTTAAGGTACATACATGATAAAATTAAATTGATATATTCTTTTTAAAATATAATAAGATTAATTAATTCTTAATTCTTAATAATTTTTTATAAATATTTTAAGTTATAAGCTTCGTATTAATTCTAAGGTAGACCGTGGATTCTTTTTGGCCGATAACGACTGGACATGTTATCGAAGGAATTATTTCCAAATAAGCAGTGCATTTTCTATCTTAAGCCCAACTCATCATACCATGAACGAATCAGACATATCATGTTTACTCGAAGTTGATGGACAATTTCATCCTATTAGTCAATTTTTATTAGGTATCACTGCAAGGGTTTCCAACAGTGACAAAAAAATCGAATTGGTGCAACACACACCAAAACGTGATAAAGGTCCACAAATGGTTCCAGTTCCAAAACCTATTCGTGCAGGTGGAAACTTGAACCTTAGTTCTGTTGGATCAAACTCAAATATTGTCACCTTTGAACGTATTCAATTTAAAACTGCAACCGCTAATAATGGAAAACGTCGCGCTGCGCAACAATATTATGTTGTAATGGTCGATCTTTACGCACAAACAGAAAATGGTGAACAATTCCGAGTAGCTACATCAACTTCTGCTCCTTTAGTCGTAAGGGGTCGTAGTCCTGGTCATTATGCTGATAATCATGATCGTTATAGTCCAATGAGCATGAATCCAGCATTCCCAAATGATCGTCACATGGGATTTCCACATCCTCAAGGACCAGGTGGTGCTCCCGTTATGGCACAGGATTTTAGTGGAGCTTCTTTTCCGGGACCATACAACCAATACCCTCCCTTCCCAGGCTTCCCCCCTGTTAATGGAGGGCCAATGCGAAATGATGCTTTATTGATGATGCCGAATGGACAAGCACCTCAATTCCATCCTCAACATCCACATCAGCAATACATGGTACAAGGTATATCCGAAGGAGAAAACCCTAATCCAGATATGTACAGTAATGCAAATATGGATACAAGCGTGGTTAATAATTCACACGACCAAAAGATGCATGACATACATATGGAAGGGGGTAAATAATGTAAAAGTGAAAAAAAAAACAGAACGAGACAAATAATGTAAAAATTGTATCATCTTTTTAACTTTTTTTTTTTTTTTTTTTGTAAATTTAGTAACCGCTGCTTCGGCGCCACATTCAGCATTTTCAAATTTTGAGTCCCGTCAAATTCAAACACCAGGTACAGGACCAAACGCGGCACCAGGTAGCAAATCATTTATAAAAATCGAAATTTCTTCACGCATCTAAAATTCAGGAACACTTACTAATTTCTCCAACTTATTCTTCATAAGAATATGTTGAAGGATTTCATATGTATCACAACGACAGTCACCCCACCAGCAATACATCCGCACATGAAGGTTACCATTCTGATAACGAGCATCATAGCAATGGATTAAATCACATGAACGGACGACAAACAAGACCAGACGGTTCGTCAGAACATAATAATAATTCATCACAAATTAATGGTGATAAATCAGGACATGATTCAAAATCACCTTTATTAGCAAACGGAAATAACAATACTACGAATTATCGAATTGGAAAAACGGAAAATACCGATAAGTTATAAAGATAAGATATGGACAATTTTTTTTTGATTTAGAATTGAAATTTCCGTCTCTGAGAAACGGATTTTGTTTATCGCTTATTTATTTTTTTTCGGCATTGATTGGTCCCGATTTATGATTTGTTTATAAGGTATATAAATTTGGGTTGACTTTATAATAAGATGTATATGATTTTTTACGTTGTATTTAATTTTTGGGCTAATGGAAAAAAAAAAATAGGATTTTTGGCTTTCACGGCACGTTTAGAGATCAAAAAGGGTTTTTTGTGCTATATGTATAAGTTACAATATTAGAGAACACCAAAAATACCACAATTTTAATTTATATTATTTTAGCTGTACACTTATTACTTTCACATTATACTTTATATATAATTTACATATTATTAATTTTGGTTGGCATGGTATTATCATAGCTATAATTATAAACGTAACTTTTTTATTTATTGCTCTTTTTTTTCAAGAAAAAGGGGCTGGTTTTTTTTTTATTTTTACTACTATTACTTATATTCGGAGTCAAATAAAAAAAAATCCAAGAAAAACCTAATTTTTCAATCATCTTTTTAGTAAAAAAAATTGATAATTTTTTTAACCTTAGCAACGTAATAACGGCAGATAAAAACTTTTAAATAAGTATAATATATTGGTCACATGATAATCTAGAATTCGTCAGTCACGTGGTGTGGTACGTAACGATAACTACCCCAGGCACCCGGAAAATGTGTACCGGGTTGGGTTCGGATGATGGTCCGGAAAATGTCCGAATTTTTTTTCCTTTTACTAAGACTTTATTTTTCAATTATAGCAAAGCAATATTTAATACAATTTACAACACATATCTAATGCATAGAATAATACAAATAAACTTGAATTTCTAATTTATTTCTTTTTAACCATTTGGTTTGTTTTCTTCGATAATTTATATACTCTTTTTGCAATCATTCTTTATGCCCTTCATTTCAAATTGATCGATATTTTCTTTCTGAATATTCATTGACTATGAAATTTGATGAAATAGATATGATGCTAACTATCGATAAAGATTCGGATTTTCGTATCCTTCTTGAAATATTCAATGTCGACAAGAAGTTGGCTATTATTGTAAACATTACTAACGATAAGTTGAAAAGTTTTCAATAAATATAATATGCTTATTAGATCTTCGTTGCTACATAGGTATTGAATAAATACTGAATTGGTATCAATTAAAATTTAAAATAACAACCTAATTTTAATATCACTTTAGACAATCGAACATTGCTTATTTTCACATTTGGCTATTATAGCATCGCTTTTATTTTTTGCAAGAAAAAAAAAAAATTTGAAAAATATTTTTGATTATTATAATTTAAATAATGATAAACTAATGACAATAAGTAATTTTATTTTATTAGCTAGACAACGTAATTTTTGTTTCTAATTCCGAATGTTATACCATTCCGGTCTAGCTATCCGGACGATCATCCGATCTCAACCCAGTACACATTTTCCAGGTGCCTACCCCAGTAGCAAAACTTATGTTTTTGATTTACTTTTTTGGGGGATGGCTAAAGCCAGGTGCGTTTATATGTTTTTGATTATTTAATTAAAATTAGGGTAAGAGTTAGTTAGAGATTAGGGGTGGAGGAGTTCTTATAGGTAAAATTGTCTTTCTGATATTTTTTATTAGTACTTCAAGTAGGGTTCCTATCAAATCAAGTCAAACTTTTGCTAAGTTTGATTTGATTTTCAAATAAACTCAAACTCAAACTTTTTTTAAAATTAAGTTTGATTTGAATTTGAGCTTAAACTTTTTAGTTAAATTTAATTTGATTTGAATTTGATTTCAAAATTTGTTAAATTATTTGAGTTTGAATTATATATATATAAATTTTTTTTTTTTTTTTTTTCTTTGACAGTCTTGCCAGTGCTCAATTTATTTAAGACTATATTTAGGTGAGAGTTGAA